TTTTTGAATATCTAAAATATGTTTCAGTTCCCGATTTCTCAACTTTTCAATGTTTTGATTGTTCAGTTTTTTAATTTTTTAATTTTTCGATGTTTTCAGTTTTTGGTCTTCCAATTTTTCGATTTTTAATTTTAGATTTTTCAGTTTTTTAATTTTTCGATTTAAAAATTTCAGATATTCTGGTTTCTCGATTTCACGATTTTAAAATTTTTCAGATATTCCATATTTTTATTTTTTAATTTTAAATATCTTTAAATTTTGAATTTTTCAGTTTTTAAAATTTTCAATTTTACGATGTTTCAGCTTTGGGATTTTTCAATGTTTCAATTCAATTTTTCCATTTTTCAACTTTTCGATTTTTAAATTTTAGATTCTTCAATTTTTCAGTTTTTTTAATGATTCGATTTCTCGATTATTTAATTGTTGGAAATTTTGGTCACACTTTTTAAAATTTTGTATTTTCCGATTTCTGGATTTCCCCATTTTTTTTAATTTCTTCATTACTCATTTGTTGGTTTTTCAAATTTTCGATTAAAAAAAATCTCGATTTATCAAAAATTCGATGTGTGGATTATTCAATTTCCCGAATCATGTTTTTTTTGCTTCAAATTTTTCTAATTTAAATTTTTAGAATTGTCAATTTTGGGCAATTTAGACTTCTTAATTTTTCGATATTCCGACTTTTGACTTCTCGATTTTTTGATCTTTTGATGTTTCGATTTTACAAATTCCATTTTCCAATTTCTCGATTTCAATTTTCTAATTTTTTGACATTTCAGTTTAGGGATTTTCCAGTTTCTCGATTTTTCAGCGTTTCTAATATCCAATTTTAGATTTCTCGATTTCTAGTTTTTTGCTTTTTCAGTTTTCGACTTTTCCATTTTTCAATTTATCTTTTTTTGGTTTGTCGATTTCGATTTGTCAATTGGTCGGTTCTTCAATTTCTCGTCTCTTCGAATTTTTGATTTCTCAATTTTTTTAATTTTTCGATTTATCAAATTATCCATATTTCAGTTTTGGGATTTTTTAATTTTTAGATTTTTTGCGTTTTCAATTAATTTTGATTTCTCTTTTTTGATGTTTTAATTTCGTGATTTTTCAATTTTTCGAATTTTGATTTTAAGATTTTTTATTTTCTGATGTTTTGAATTGTCGATCTTTCAATTCTTCGTTTTTTCACTTTTAGGCTTTTCAATTTTTCGATTTTTCGATTTTTCAATGCATCAAATTCGATTTCTCAATTTCTCACTTATTCGACTTTTGGATTCTCTGATTTTTCGATTCTTCGATTTTGTGATTTTTTGACATTGCAGGTTTGGAATTTTTCAGTTTAGCGTTTCTTCACTTTTTGTTTTTTTTTTAATTTTAGTTTTCTGGATTTCTAGTTTTTTGATTTTTCAGTTTTTCAGTTATGTCATATCTCGATTTATCGAAATTTCGATTTGTTGATTTTTCAATTTCTCGATTTTGTTAAGTTCAAATTTTTCCATTTTAAATTTTGCAACTTTTTCATTTTGGAGTATTTCGAATTCTTAATTTTTCGATCTTGCGATTCTTGACTTCTCGATTTCTCGATTTTTTGATGTTTCGATTCTGTGATGTTTCAAATTTTCAAATTCGATTTCTCGATTTCTGTGTTATTCCACTTTTTGATTTTCTAATTTTTGGAATTTTTAAATTTTAGTTTCTTAATTTGTAGTTCTTTGATTTTTCAGTTTTCAATTTTTCAATTTATATTGAATTTGATTTTTCAGGTTAAAATTTTGTAATTTTGGATTTTTGGACAAAATATATTTGGTTATCTTCTCCAAAAAACGGATGACGTCACCTCAAAAGTTTGCCGAATAAATCCTATCTGGAATGTGCAAAATATGATGAGTTTGTACTTGTAATTTATCATCCCATTCATATTTTTTGAATTTTGCATATACCGAGTGACTCAAAAAAAATAATAATGAATGCGTAAATTTATTTTATTGATTTACTCAAAAACTACAAAACCGAATACTTTTTGACAGCAAGGGAAGTACTGTCTAAACTCTTTAAACCAATTTTTTGATACCTGTAACCGTTTTTCCAGAATCGACCGTTAAAATATCGAAATTTTTAAAATTTTCAAATTTTTTTTCGAAAATGTTGCTTCATGACCATTAACATGCTATATTTTTGGAATCAGCGTGTCGAGATCTACGTCCTTGAATTTTTTCATAATTTTCAGACAACTTTTGTAAAATCGAAATTTTGTAATGGTCCCCCATTCTTCAAATTTCGAAAAAGTTTTGACATTTTCGCAACTCAACTAAATATATTTTCTTGTAGATCTCTAGCTCTAGAACTCAAATCCGGCGTCGATTTTTTGATACCTGCAACCGTTTTTCCAGAATCGACCGTTGAAACCTTCGAAATTTTTGAAATTTTCAAAAATTCGCTTTTCGCAGCGATTTTTTCGAAAATGTTGCATCGTGACCACCAACATGCTATATTTTTGGAATCAGAGTATCGAGATCTACGTCCCTGGATTTTTTCATAATTTTTGGACACCTTTTTTAAAATTGAAATTTTTTAATGGTCCCCCCTTCTTCAAATTTCGCAAAATTTTTGACATATTCGAAATTCAACTAAATACATTCACTTGTATTTTTAATTGTAGCTCTAGAACTCAAATCCGGCTTCGATTTTTTGATACCTGCAGCCGTTTTTCCAGAATCGACCCTTAAAATATCGAAATTTTTAAAGTTTTCAAAATTTTTTTCGAAAATGTTGCTTCATGACCATTAACATGCTATATTTTTGGAATCAGCGTGTCGAGATCTACGTCCCTGAATTTTTTCATAATTTTTAGACAACTTTTTTAAAATTGAAATTTTTTAATGGTCCCCCATTCTTCAAATTTCGCAAAATTTTTGACATTTTCGAAATTCAACCAAATACATTTTCTTGTAGATTTCTAGCTCTAAAACTCAAATCTGGTTTAGATTTTTTGATACCTGCAACCGTTTTTCCAGAATCGACCGTTGAAACCTTCGAAATTTTTGTAATTTTCAGTATTTTTTTTTTGATTTTGATATTTTGACACCTGCAACCGTTTCTCCAGAATCGACCGTTGAAATATTGAAATTTTTGAAATTTTCAAAAATTCTAATTTCGCAGCGATTTTTTCGAAAATGTTGCTTCGTGACCACCAACATGCTATTTTTTTGGAATCAGAGTATCGAGATCTATGTCCCTGAATTTTTTCATAATTTTTAGACAACTTTCTTAAAATTGAAATTTTTTAATGGTCCCACATTCCTCAAATTTCGCAAAAATTTTGACATTTTCGAAACTCAACTAAATACATTTTCTTGTAGATTTCTAGCTCTAGAACTCAAATCCGGCTTCAATGTTTTGATACCTGCAACCGTTTTTCCAAAATCGACCGTTGAAATATCGAAATTTTTTAAATTTTCAAAAATTTACATTTCGCAGCGATTTTCTCGAAAATGTTGCTTCGTGATCATCAACATGCTATATTTTTGGAATCAGCGTGTCGAGATCTACGTCCCGGAATTTTTTCATAATTTGTAGACAATTTTCTTAAAATGAAATTTTTTAATGTTTCCCTATTCTTCAATTTTCGCAAAAATTTTGACATATTGGAAACTCAACTAAACACAGTTTCTTGTAGATTTCTAGCTCTAGAAGTCAAATCCGGCTTCGATTTTTTGATACTTGCAACCGTTTTTCCAGAATCGACCGTTGAAACCTTCGAAATTTTTGAAATTTTCAAAAATTCGTCTTTCGCAGCGATTTTTTCGAAAATGTTGCATCGTGACCATCAACATGCTATATTTTTGGAATCTGCATGGCGAGATCTACGTCCCTGAATTTTTCATAATTTTTAGACAACTTTTTTAAAATTGAAATTTTTTAATGGTCCCCCATTCTTCAAATTTCGCAAAAATTTTGACATTTTCGAAACTCAACTAAATACATTTTCTTGTAGATTTCCAGCTCTAGAACTCAAATCCCGCTTCGATTTTTTTATACCTGCAACCGTTTTTCCAGAATCGACCGTTAAAATATCGAAATTTTTGAAATTTTCAAAAATTCGCATTTCGCAGCGATTTTTTCGAAAATGTTGCTTCGTGACCATCAACCTGCTATATTTTTGGAATCAGCGTGTCGAGATTTACGTACCTGAATTTTTTCATAATTTTTAGACACCTTTTTTAAAATTGAAATTTTTTAATGGTCCCCCCTTCTTCAAATTTCGCAAAAATTTTGACATTTTCGACACTCACCTAAATACATTTTCTTGTAGATTTCTAGCTCTAGAACTCAAATCCGGCTTCGATTTTTTGATACCGGCAACCGTTTTTCCAGAATCGACCGTTGAATTATCGAAATTTTTGAAATTTTCAAAAATTCATATTTCGCAGAGATTTTTTCGAAAATGTTGCTTCGTGACCATCAACATGTTATATTTTTGGAATCAGCATATCGAGATCTACGTCCCTGAATTTTTTCATTATTTTTAGACAACTTTTTTGAAATTGAAATTTTTTAATGGTCCCCCCTTCTTCAAATTTCGCAAAAATTTTGACATTTTCGACACTCACCTAAATACATTTTCTTGTAGATTTCTAGCTGTAGAACTCAAATCCGGCTTCCATTTCTTGATACCTGCAACCGTTTTTCCAGAATCGACCGTTGAAATCCTAGAAATTTTTGAAATTTTCAAAAATTCGCATTTCGCAGCGATTTTTTCGAAAATCTTGCTTCGTGACCATCAACCTGCTATATTTTTGGAATCAGCGTGTCGAGATTTACGTACCTGAATTTTTTCATAATTTTTAGACACCTTTTTTAAAATTGAAATTTTTTAATGGTCCCCCTTCTTCAAATTTCGCAAAAATTTTGACTTTTTCGAAACTCAACTAAATACATTTTCTTTACTACACCTATATGTGTGATAATTTTACCAATTTTTTGATGAGAAGGAAATTATTACGAAACAATATTGTATAACTTTTATTGGCATATAAGTACATGCTATATATACAATACTCAAAATGTACATTATTGTTCGTATCTAAAAATCGTAATTATTAAAATAAACACTACATGAATCTATGGAAACCTACGATAAAGATATTGTTATTATTATCACGGCTGCACAGCCGGATTGTGTTCACTTAAAATTTCATTTGGAGATTTGAAACCGTCAGTCCGTACTTTGAAGGTGCACTTGGGGTGTTTACTTAATAGTACTTTACTCTACCTCCGTGAAAACCAGCCGTTCTGCGTGAACTTTCCGCCTCTTCATGATATACTAAAGAACTAGCAAGCTCGTGTCACAAAATTTTGCCTTACATAACTATAAACCGATTGTCGCTTCCGGAAGTCCCGAAGCTGATTTATAGCTACGAGGAGGAAGTATTGGTTATACCTACTTACAAAGTAAATATATCACAAACATGTTAGTCGGCGGGGCGCGAGTGCTCCGCCTCCCACACTGTGTCTAACATCAACCACCCAACACAAACAACAATAAGAATGCAAAACGTATCAATATCGAAAATTGGTCCTCGTGAACGGCGTTGAAAGACGTTTCGGTCGTGTGCGCTCCATCCTCATGATATGTTCACGGCGCGGCAGTCCGGTGCACTCGGTGCAGGATCACTTCGCCCGTACTCGACGTCGGTTCGTTAGTTTCCGGTTCGCAACGACACTTGAGCACCCACTGGACCGACACTGTCATCAGCTTGGACACCTTGTCGGACTTCCAGGGCGAGGAGTCGTCCCAGAGGTCCTCGCCGGGCTCGAGGTACTCGGGCAGCAGCTCGGAGCTGACCTCGTCGGGCTGGGGTCCGTCGCACAGGAACTCCACCTTCACGGTGGTGCTGAGCGAGGGCTGGCACTGGATGCCCGGCACCGGGCACAGGCCGCAGTACTTGGGCCGGAAGCGCTTGCGGCTGCGGCACGGACCGAAACGGAGGTACACGCCGCTGCTGAGGCGGTGGGTGGCCTTGCACTCGTGGCCGCGCTGGAAGAGAAAAACGAAAATATAGACAGGTGCGACATTATTGTATTCTCAATAATAAAATAAAGCCCTTTAGCAAGCATTTAATCAATAGGGTTTAGGGATTTGTGTATCTGGGTGATGATGGAACGTTACGAAGAGAGTGAGAAGAATTATTTTTTGTAACTATGCAACCCAAAGTACCAACCCAGCGCAGGTACCGAACCAAGAGAGGAGAGATTATGATCACTATAGGGAGTCCGTCATAAAATTTCCAAAGATTAAAAAAATTCTCAATATTATGGACATTCTGAAAGATCTGAAAATTCAAAAAGTCTGAAGACTCTTAATATTCCGAAGATTCTGAAATTATAAGGGTTCCAAATAATCCAGAATTTCCAGAAATTTAAAAAATTACGGATATTCCGAGACTCAACAGATTCCAGATCTTTCCAAAATTTTCGGATATTCCAAGTTTCTAGATACTCCAGAAATTTTAAAGATGATTTGAAAATGCCGAAGATTCTAGATATTTCAGAAATTTCAAATATTCCTGATTTTCTACGATTTTAGAAATTCTAGAAATTGTAAGGATTCGAAAGTTTGGAGAGATTTTGAAAACTCTGAATGACGAAACTGAAGATTGTGAAGATTCGGAAAATTCTGAAGACTTACAGTATTTGGATGACTGAAGATTCAAAAAAATCTGAAGGGTTTGAAGATTCTGAAAGTCATAAAGATTCCAAAATTTCAAATATTTCAAAAATTCCATATATTTCGAGAGATTACAAAAATTCCAAATATTCTGAATATTCCAAGATTGTAGAAAATTTAAAATACTGACGTTTCTAAGATTTCTGAACATTCTGTATATTTTGAAGACCAAGGATTCCAAAATTTTCAAAGATTCCGAAGGTTCCAGAGGTTCTGGACATTCCAAAGATTCGAAAAATTCTGAAGATTGTTGATATTCTGAAAGTTCTGAAAATTCCAGAACTAACAATTCTGAGTATTTCAAAAGTTGAAGATTCCAGAAAATCTATAGACTTAAGATTCCGATGATTCTGAGATTATAGATGTTCCAAATATTCCAGAATTTCCAATAAATTCAAAATAAATAATAATATTTGGAAAATTCTCAGTACTTCGAAAGCTGAAGATTCCAAAAAATCTGAATATTTGAAAATTTCGAAGATTCTGAAGATATTAAAGATTTCAAAGTTTTTAGATATTTCAGAAATTTCAAATATTCCTGATATTCTGCGACTTTAGAGATTCTAGAAATTGTAAAGATTCGAAAGTTTCTAGAAATTATGAATATTCTGAATGAAGATTGTAAATTCTGAATGAAGATACTAAACATTGTCAACACAAGATTCAGTTTTTGGAAGATTGAAGATTCTCTGAAAACTTTGAAGATTCAGAAGATTCTGAAAATTATAAAAAATTCAACCTTTCCAGAGATTTCCGAATATTTCAAAAATTCCGTATATTCTTGGAGATTTCAGAAATTCCAAAGATTCAGAATATTTCGAGATTCTAGAGATTTTAAAAATTCTAAAGATTACAAGGTTTCCGAAAATTCTGGATATTTTGAAGATTCTAAATATTTCAAAGATTCCGAAGCTTCCACAGATTCTGGGCTGAAAGTTGTGAAAATCCCAAAAGTTATAAGAAAAATTTCAAAGGTTCTAGATATTTTAGAAATTTTAAATATTCCTGATATTCTGCGACTTCAGAAATTCTAGAAATTGTAAAGATTCAAAACTTTCTAAAGATTTTGAATATTCTGAGTGAAGATTGAAGATTTTGAATGAAGATACTAATGATTGTAAAGAAAAAATTTTGAAAAATTCTAAAGCTTCACAGTGTTTGGAAGATTGAAGATTCTCTGAACACTTTGAAGATTCAGTTGATTCTGAAAATTATAAAAATTCCAAATTTTGCAGAGATTTCCAAAATTTCAAAAATTCCGTATATTGCGAGATTCTAGAGATTCTAATAATTCTGAAGACTTTAAAGTTTCTGGAAACTTTGAGGTTACGAAGATTCTGGAGAATACGAAGATTCCAAAGATTTCAAACATTTCGAAGGTTCCAAAAATTCCAGGCTTTCTAAAAATTTGAAAAGTTCTGAACATTGTGGAGATTCTAAAAGTTATGGAAATCTAAAATCTGGCAGTTCTGAGTATTTCAAAATCTGAGGGTCCCAAAAACCTAAACAATTTTAAGATTCTAAAATTTCCGAAGATTTCGGAATATTTTGAAAATTCCGTATATTCCGATAGACAAAAAAATCTGAAGGCTTTGAAGAATCGGAAGATTCTGAAAATTATATGGATACCAAAGATTGTGAATATTTCGAAATCTTAGAGATTTTTTAAGATTCTGAATGAAGATATTGAAGATTGTATAGATTCAGGAAATTCTAAAGATTCATGGTGTTTCGAAGATTAAAGATTCTCTCAAGACTTTGAAAATTCAGAAGATTTTGACAATTATATAAATTCCAAAATTTCCAGAGATTTCCAAATATATCAAATATTCCACATATTCCGAGAATTTCAGAAATTCCAAAGATTTCGATATTCCAAGTTTCTAGATACTACAGAAATTTGAAAGAATTGAAAGATTCTGGAGATTTTAGAGATTCCTAAGATTCTGAATATTCTCAGTGCGTCGAAGGCTGAAGATTTCAAACATCTGATGATTTGAAACTTTCGAAGATTCTAGATATTTCAGAAATTTCAAATATTCCTGATATTCTGCGATTTTAGAAATTCTAGAAATTGTAAGGATTCGAAAGTTTCCAGAGATTTTGAACACTCTGAATGACAAAACTGGAGATTGCGAAGATTCGGAAAATTCTGAAGAATTACAGTATTTGGATGATTGGAGATCCAAAAAAATCTGAAGGTTTGAAGATTCTGAGAGTCATAAAAATCCAAAATTTCAAATTTTTCAAAAATTCCATATATTTCGAGAGATTTCAAAAATTCCAAAGATTCTGAATATCCCAAGATTGTAGAAATTTTAAAAATACTGACGTTTCTAAGATTTCTGATTATTCTGGATATTTTGAAGACTAAAGATTCCAAAAATTCTGAAAACTTTGAGGTTATGAAGATTGTGAAGTATACAAGAGTCCCAAGATTTCAAAGATTCCGAAGGTTCCAGAGATTCTGGGCATTCCAAAGATTTGAAAAATTCTGAAGATTGTGGATATTCTGAAAGTTCTGACAATTCCAAAAACTGACAATTCTGAGTATTTCAAAAGCTGAAGGAAGATTCCAGAAAATCTATACACTTAAGATTCCGATGATTCTGAGATTATAAAGGTTCCAAATGTTCCAGAATTTCCAATAAATTCAAAATAAATAATATTTGGAAAATTCTCAGTACTTCGAAGGCTGAAGATTCCAAAAAATTTGAAAATTTAAAAATTTCGAAGATTCTGAAGATATTAATGATTTCAAAGTTTTTAGGTATTTCAGAAATTTCAAATATTCCTGATATTCTGCGACTTTAGAAATTCTAAAAATTGTAAAGATTCGAAAGTTGAGATTATGAAGATTCTTATGAATACAAAGATTCCAAATATTTCAACGATTCCGAAGGTTCCAGAGATTGTAGGCTTTCCAAAGATTCGAAAATCCTTAAGATTCAAGATATTTCAGAAATTTTAAATATTCGTGATATTCTGCGACTTTAGAGATTCTAGAAATTGTAAAGATTCGAAAGTTTCTAGAAATTTTGAATATTCTGAATGAAGATTGTAAATTCTGGATGAAGATACTAAACATTGTCAAGAAAAAATTCGGAAAATTTTGAAGATTCAGTGTTTGGAAGGTTGAAGATTCTCTGGAGACTTTGAAGATTCTGAAGATTCTGAGAATTATAAATTTCCAGAGATTTCCGAATATTTAAAAAATTCCGTATATTCTTGGAGATTTCAGAAATTCTAAAGATTCTGAATATTTCGAGATTCTAGAGATTTTAAAAATTCTGAAGATTCTAAGGTTCCTGAAAATTCTGGATATTTTGAAGATTTAAAAAATTGTGTAAACTTTGAGGTTGCCAAGTTTCTGAAGAATACAAAGATTCTGAATGAAGATACTGGAGATTGCAAAGATTCAGAAAATTTTGAAGATTCTTAGTCTTTGGAAGATTGAAGATTTCAACAAATTTGAAGACTGAAGATTCAGAAGATTCTAAAAATTATAAAAATTCTTTCATTTCCAGAGATTTCCGAATTTTTCGAAAATTCCGTATGTTCCGATAGACAAAAAAATCTGAAGACTGAAGTATCGGAAGATCCTGAAAATTATAGGGATTCCAAAGATTGTGAATATTTCGAGATCTTAGAGATTTTTTAAGATTCTGAATGAAGATACTGAAGATTGTATAGATTAATGTTACGATTTCTAAATATTTCGATTTTTCGAGTTTTGAATTTTTCAAATTTTGACGTTTCTAATTTTCAGTTTTGCGATCTCTGAAGTAAACTTTTTTTTTATTTTCCCATTTCTTTCCAAAGTTTCAATTTTTCACGTTTTCAATTCTTCAATTTTTCGATTTTTCAGGTTTTGATGTTTCAATTTTTCATTTTCTTGGGATTTTGATTATTCAATTTTTCGATTTTATAAGCTTTCGATTTTTCGATTTCTCGATTTTTCTATTTTAGACGTTTCAATTTTTCGGTACTTCAATTTTGGGCATTTTCAATTTTTCCATTCTTCAAATTTTCGGTTTCTGCATTTTTTTATTTTTCGATTTTTCAATTTTCCGATGTTTCAATGATACAATTTCTCAATTTTTATCCTCTTCAATTTTACGATTTCTAAATATTTCGATTTTTCAATTTTTGAATTTTTCAAATTTTGACGTTTATAAATTTTCAGTAATACTATTTCTGAAGTAATCTTTTTTTTTATTTTCCCATTTCTTCCCAAAGTTTCGGTTTTTCACTTCTTCAATTCTTCAATTTTTCGATTTTTCATGGTTTTGATGTTTCAACTTTTCAAT